AGCTAAAATATATAAATAAAAAGCAGAAGTTACAATTTTTGCCTCTGATAAAATAGTCGTTAAAGCAACAAAGATCAAAAGAAGCAAAGAAGGACATTATATAATGATAAAAGGATCAATGCAACAACAAGAAGAGCTAAAGATCCTAAATATATACACACCCAATACAGGAATACCCAGACATACAAGACTAATAGAGACTTAGACTCCCACACAATTAATAGTGGGAGACTTCAACATTAATATTAGACAGATCAATGAGACAGAAAATTAACAACGATATCCAGGACTTGAACTCAGATCTGGAACAAGTAAACATAATTAACATTTATAGAACTCTCCACTTTAAATACACAAAATATACACTCTTATCAGTACCACATCATATCAACTTAGAAGTTTAAACGAAATGTTGGTTGGCTCCTTGTTTGTTATTCTCTTCCCTCATTTTCTTTTATGTCTCCATTATTAAGGACAATTATAGGCATACTCATATTTAGACTGCATTCTAGCCCGGGCAATAAAGCAATACCCCCATCCTCTCTCCCTCTTCCTCTTTCTCTTTCTTCCTCTTCTTTATTCTTTTTCTTCTTATTAAAAAAAAAAAAAAAGAATCTCCTTTCCTTCTGCCCCACCTTTCCTCCCCATTCTCTCTTCTTATCTCAAAAACAAAAACAAAAACAAAAACTGTGTCACCATAAAAGTGTCTAAAACGTGTAAGATCATTTTTTACGATGGAAAAATACTGAATATTCTGAAAGTTGTATAAAGCTTTATGATCTATATAAGGAAAAGCAAAATGTCAAAATAAAGCCAGCCTCTGAGTACAAACAGCTATATATAATTTTTTTCTAAATCTTCTTATGTATACCCTAAGGGTTAACTGTGCCCTTTACAATCTTCATATTAACAGTGGCTCTGCTTTAGTTAGACATTTCAATATTGTGAGAAAACTATTAGTTCAGCATCCTGTGGCAATAGCTACCTTAGTCTCCTTGCCTCCAGTCTTATTACCTTTAATTTATCCTTTACAAGTCTTAGTCTTTCTAAAACGCAAATCTAATGTTTCTCCACTGCTACAAACCCCCTCCATTCCATCTTCCTTAGCATAAACTTTTTTTTGGGGCGTTGAGGGGGTGGGACGGAGCCTTGCTCTGTTGCCCAGGCTGGAGTACAGTGGCATAATATTGGCTCACTGCCACCTCTGCTTCCCAGGTTCAAGCAATTCTCCTGCCTCAGCCTCATGAGTAGCTGGGATTACAGGCGTGCGCCACCACGCCCAGCTAATCTTTGTATTTGTAGTAGAGGTGGGGTTTTACCATATTGGCCAGGCTGGTCTCCAACTCCTGACCTCAAGTGATCTGCCTGCCTCGGCCTCCTAAACTGCTGGAATTATAGGCGTGAGCCACCGCGCCTGGCCAGAATAAAAGGTAAGCCCCTTGGCATCTCCTGAAAAATCTTCCTAATCTGGCTGCACCCTAGTCTCCAGTTTCATTTCTCTCAACACTTCTCTCCTCACCAAAAAACCTCAATCACCTAACCACAGCTTAAAGGCTTTTCGCGTGTCATTCCTTTTGCCTAGAACTCCTATCTGTTAGTTTGCTAGGGGTTTCATAAAAAAAAATCCCACAGACTGGGTTGCTTCAACAACAGAAACTTATTTTCCTACAATTCTGGAGGCTAGAAGTACAAAATCAAGGTGGTGGCAGGTTTGGTTTCTCCTGAAGCCTCTCCTTGGCCTTCTTGATGTGTCCTCACACAGTCTTTCCTTGGTATGTGCATCTCTGATGTGTCTTTTTGTGTTCACATTTCCTTCTTATAAGAAAAACTGTCAGACTGCATTAGAACCTACCCTAACGGCTTCATCTGAACTTAATCACCCCAAAGCCCTGTCTCCAAATAGTCACATTCTGAGGTTATGGGTGTTAGGGCTTCAACATAATTTTGGGAGGATACAATTCAGCCCATAACAACCCTTTCCCCTTTTCTCTGCCCAGGCTAATTCTCATTTGTTTTCCCAAGACTGGTTTAAGCTTTCTCACTCCAGGCTGGCCTCAGTGTTCTTTCTCTGGGCTCCCAAAGTACCTCTGCATGCTGCTAACCTATTGCTCAATACACTATATTAACTGTCTCTTTCCTTTTTCAAACACATTCCTTAAAAGCAAAGATTAAATTCCTATTATTCGCACAGTGTGTGGCACACAGAAGGTGTTTATTAATAAAGATTTGATCATTGAAGGGAAATGAAAGAAAGAATATAGACCTTGAAGTACAACAAACATGGGTTCAAATCTTGGTTCTACTGTTGACTTATCTATGCCTTTGGACAAGTAATTAAATGCTGAACTTCCATTTTAAATAAGGTAGTTGTAAAGACACATGACAACTTACAACGAAAGCACCCAGCTGTGAGGCTGGTACACAGTAGGTGCTCAATAAATGTTAGACTACAGATTTTGATCTTGTCTGCTGTGACACTCAGTTCTACCATTTAATAGCTACATGACCTTTGGTACATTTATTAACCTCTCTTTGCTTTAGCTGCCTATCTATAAAAACACCTCAGTGCTATTGTGAGGATAAGTTAATGCAGGTAAAACATTATCTATCATAAAGTATCATATAAATGTTTCCTATTATTATAAGAACAATGCAGATCTGAACAGATGATTAAACCATGAATAATTTAGTTCCTTTAATTACTAAGTCATTTATATGTGGCTATTACCTTTTTGCCTCCTATTTGTTACCAACTAAACAGGATGGTAACTAAAGAGGTTCAAAACGGGTACAGGTGATATAATCAGAGCTCAAACATGAAATAAGATCTGTCTTATTCCTCATATTGGTATTTAACATATTTGGGGCACAAAAACAAAGAAATTTTCAGTGGAGAATAACACTTCTCCACTCATATTTAAATTATTTTTTTTAAGAGATGGCATCTCTGTCACTCAAACTCGAGTGCAGTAGTGCCATCATTGCTCAAGGGATCTTTCGATCTCAGCCTCCCAAGTAGTTGGTACTACAGGTGCAAATAACCACACCCAGCTATTTTTTATTTTTATTTTTGGTAGAGATGAGGCTTTGCTATGTGAACAGGTTGGTCTCAAGCCATTCTCCTGCCTCCGGCTCTCAAAGTGCTGGAATTACAGGCATGTGAGTCACCACGCCCAGCAGGGTCATATTTTTACTTGCAGACTCACAAAACCTGTTAACTGTAAAGAATCTTTTGATAAAAGTCCAGTCTTGTAATTTCTTATATAAGTAAAGTGAGACCGATTTGGAATAGGCTTCTAGGGTCTTACTGAGCAGTTCAGTGTGAAATGAGAATTATAGGCAGAGAGAATGAGTTTGTTCAGAAGTACTAAAGTAGGGTTTCAGGACTTACTGCAGATGTCCAAGGTGTGTTGGAACCAGTCTTAGACACTGGACAATCCTCTTTAACTACTCAACCTTTAAAGTCTGTAATTTCTAAAGTATGTATTAGTTACCTGATCTGTGACTTTGAAGCAAGGCAGATCTAGATTTAAATCTCCCCTTGTTACAAAAGCAAAGTCTTTGAGCCTCAGATTGGTGTGTATGTTTGTTAAAGTGAATAAGTGAACTAAAGTCTGAAGAGCTCCTACCTGGAGTGCCTGGCAGATTGCAAATACTAAAATGTTGGTTCTTTCTAACCTCTTCCATCATATGAATAAGTCTGTAAGATAACAGAACACTGTCTTTCACATAGTGTGTGCTTGCTAAATGTCTGAGACTTGTTGGACATGACTTAATTTTAAAAATAGAAAGCTGGGGCTAGGCATGGTGGCTCACGCCTGTAATCCCAGCACTTTGGGAGGCCGAGGTGGGCGGATCGTGAGGTCAAGAGGTAGAGACCATCCTGGCCAATATGGTGAAACCCCGTCTCTATTTAAAAAAAAAAAAAAATACAAAAATTAGCTGGGCATTGTGGCACACATCTGTAATCCTATACTTAGGAGGCTGAGGCAGGAGAATCGCTTGAACCTGGGAGGTAGAGGTTGCACTGAGCCGAGATCATACCACTGCACTCCAGCCTGGCGGCAGAGTGAGAGTCCATCTTAAAAAAAAAGAAAAAGGAAAGAAAGCTGTCATAACTGCTGGGATGATAAAGTGTCTCCACCCTGACCTTTCTCACCACTAAATGTCCTTCACAATTTGTTTTTAAGTGTCATGTCACCACCATTAACGTGCTATTTGGAGACCACTGTAGCTGAGACTTCCAAGTCAATAGCGAAGATCTGAAGGTCAGGAAAAGATTTACGGAGACCAATGGTTCCTATGGTCCGTTCCACCAACTTGATGAATTTCCTGTGAAAAGTTACTTTTTTTTGGCGCAGAAACATCAAGTCTAAGCAAAAAGTGCATGAGCAAGTAACTAAACTTATCCCTATTATTATGACGCAGATTTTTTTTTTTTTTTTTAGGTTGAAAGACTATTTTGGGGCTGGTACTAAAAAGGACATGTGCCAATATCTATTATTTACGCTTCAAAGTAAAGTCAGCCGTTTTTCTCTTTGAGGACATGTGGCATCTGGCTCGAAATCAATTGCAAGAAAAGCCCAACTCTATTTGACACATTAAGAGCTCCTTCCAATACCCTCTCCTCCCATGTACATCACAGATGGCGACAGAGGATTAAGGTTTAACGCCCGACCCTAAAGCCACTCATCCTAAAAGACGGCTCCAGATGGATGCTGTCTGGCAGAGGATGAGGCGCTCTGAGAAGCTGCCAAGCCTCGGATGTGCAGCTGGGCTGAATCCTGACGCCAGAGCCCAGCGCCCATCGCTTTACACCCACATTTAGGAAACAACCCGCTCCTCACCGCGGGACTGGGACCCAGCCCTCCCACACGCAGCCTCCGCCTCCGGCGTCGGCGCGTGACCTCCAGGGACCGGAGGAGGTCTGGGCGCCAAGGGTCCTCCGCCTTCCGGAGAAGTTGTCAAGGGCAAGTTCGGGTTGCGAGCGGATAGCTTACTCACTGCAGTGGCCCGGCATCCTCCGTTGTCCGCCCGCGCTTCTTCAGGAAGCTCCTAATGCGGGGGCAGCCTAAGAGCAGCAGCCGAAGCTGCCGCCGCTGCTTCCACTGCCAGCAACCGCCTGGGAGTGGCAGGGACAGGCGAGCGATTTCACATCATCATCACTCGGCGACCTCGGTTCTGCAGCCACAGCGGGTCAATGGCAGCCCCCACGCAATTGGGAAAGCCAGAGGAGACCCACTCTCCCAGCGGCCTCCACGGCCCAGCGCAAGACCTGCTGGGACTTGTAGTTTCCTAGCTGCGCCGCCCCAAGCTCGAAGGCCCCGCCTTCGCACCGCTCAGCCCCGGGGCAGGAGGCGGGGCCGCGTCCCTGCGGGTAACCTGGAGCTGGGGCCGCGTCCCAAGCTCACGGCCCCGGTTGCGGCAGCGCCGCCCTCCCGCGCCTCGTGCCGGGAGCGGGCCTAGAGCGCTCGCCTAGTTCCTCCGCGAGCCGGTCTCCGGCGCCCGCCCCGGTCCGCACCGCTGGCAGTCTGAAGAGAGTCACTGGCCGTGGTCGCCGCTAGGGTAACTAGGGGAGGCAGGCCCGGGAGGGAAAGGTGGGGGACGTGAGGGAGTGCGCCTAGGTCCGCCCGGGAAGCCCGAGGCCAGAACGCGCCAGCCCACCTCGAGCCGCAGCACCGGCGGCTGGCGGAGCCGTGGCAGGAATGCGGCCCCCGCGCTGGTGTAACTCACCGGAGCCCCGGGCCGCGGGTTCCCAGCCCGCCCGGTGGTGCCTGCCGGGTTGGCCGTGCCAGGTGCGCGGAGCCCAGGCCGCCCGGACGCCCTCTCCCCGCAGCCCTCACCTTTGGCCACGCTCTCGGGCTTGGCGAGTTTCCACACCGAATACACCCTCAGACCCCAGCTTTATCTGCCGCCTTCTGCAAGTTCGCTGCAGAGTCCCCCATAGCAGGACTAGGAAGGAACCTTTTACAAAATTAATGCTCGAGTGTCGTTTTTGTCCTCGGTTTTTCAGTTCAGCGCTGTGTTATTCCCTGCTGGGTCTGTTGTCAAGTACCTTTTCCTCAAAACTTGATAAGAACGTGTAACACGGTGCCTACCTAGTAGCACGGTGCCCGGCACACAGTAGGCGCTCAGTAAAGATTTGTTGAAAGCATGAGTCACTAAGCTTGGAAAATTCTCCCGAGCTGTGCGTCGCTATGGTCTTTAAGATTTTAGGGATTCCCAAAATCACTTTGAAAATTACGGTAATTCTAAAGCTCAACAAAGAGAGTTACATCGGGTTATTTTTGCATTCCCTGTAGCAATGGCCTCTGTTGAACGCCTAAATTAACTCAAAACTCGTGTTCTGTGAGTAGATGAGCCCTTGTGGTTTCTGCAGAAACTGTTAATCTTTCAGATTAAAGTCTTCACATGAACCATTCTATTAAGGAAGAAATTGAAATTACTTATAAAGCTTTATCGTAATTAGCTTTTAGATACATGTGCAAGGGATTGCACTGATGTACTTGTGAATACATTCAGAAATATAGGTCTCTTAAGTATGACTTTTTTTTTTTCAAGGGTTTATATTCATATCTCGTGAAAGAGCATGCCAGAGAAAATTATAATAGCAAATCTCCCACCCCCACCCCTTTGCTGGGTGCAGCTGTTGCCTTGACCTCAAAATGTCTTGTAAAATTATCTCTAAATAGTCTGGTGTATCTAAGGCAAAAATCTCTGGGATTAAACCACCCCATAGGGACACCCCTTTTAGTATTACCAATTCTCGTCAGAGTGTGTCTGTTTCTTCTGAGCTTTTCTGAAAGAAAAAGACAATATAATGGAGTTTCAAACTGTTAACACAAAATCGTAACAGCTTGCTGACACTGAGTGAAGAAAGCAGGATACAAAGTCATAGTAACTAGAAAATTTGGTTAGCCATGACATCCATAACCTTTCTGCTGGTGGGAAGGTCAGATACAAGTGGCCAGGGCCTGTCCGCCTTGATTACTAGTGGGTGTCCACAGTGCCTGACCCATATTAGCCATTCATTAAACACTTGTATAATGATTACTTGCCTGTTACAGATTAACAGTGTAATGACTATGGGTGTGTAGTTTCTTCCTTTACTTGGATATCTCCTTAGAATAGATGGTTATTAGGAATTTTACGGGGTCAAAAGGTAGAATATTTTCATGATTATTGAAACATTGACAACCTGCTTTCCAAATAAGCCTTACCGTTTTGTACTGCCATCAGTATATTTGAGTGTACTTTTCAAAGCATAGTTCAAGTTGATACAATGTTTGCTAGTTAGGGGCACTTTGAGATGTAACTCATTTAATCTCAGTCACCTGGAAGATTGACAGGGCAGGCATTGCTTTTCCCCTTTTGTAGCACAGCAAACTCCAATGTCTTAACTTGAGGGTAATGAATGCCAGGTGACTAAATGATCACAACCTTTCAGGTCTGTCTTCCTCCCAGTCTCTACCTTTGGTTCATAATGAATATCCTGAATAAATTCACCTCTTAGTAATAAAATTGGATATTGCTTTATTGTTTTTATGGTTTACAGAATCTTCCCTTTCTCATTTTGCTCACATATTTGTAGATGGGTTCATCAAGTTTGGGGACTTCATTAAACTGAAATAATGAAGCACAATTTAGATGAAAGATGATGTTGGTTAGATGTAAAGGAATACTCTGTACCTGCAAACTTACAAGATTGCCACCCTTTCTATTAATAAAGGTCTGGAAACCTTTGATGGTGTTTTTGTATCTCCTTGAGTTAATTTCCTAGTCTGTTCTGATTCTTTCCCATGTTTGCTGGTCAGAGACCCCCAAATGATTTAGTAGGTAATTAATCCAATAAAGAGTTTTAGAAAGTCTCGAAGTTTAGTTACAATACATGATCATTGAAAATTCTTGGAGTTTAAGTGATACCGTTGATATCAAAAGTGGGCCCAAAATTGGTTTTCTATATTGCTTTCAAATTTGCTCAGCGTTCTTTAAAAAACAAACTGTATAGAAAAGATAGGGAATGTCTGTGCAAATACTTTGAGGCTTTGGAAATATTCAGAACTTCTTTTCTTTTTCACTCTGCTTCTCTGTTGTGATGTCAGATCCCAAATAATGTTCAGTTAAAAAAAATGTTCTTTAAAGATGCTTTTCAGGAATGTCTCCTTGTGTCAAGGAGTAGCTGCCTATATATTGGATGTCAAGGGACAGCTGCCTAAATACTGGAAGGGTTTAAGACAATTAGTTCTTTAAGGAGCTTTTATGTGATTCTAAATTATTTTGCTTTTGTTTTTTATAGTAGGATATATCTGCATTTTGAAAGGAACATAAAAGCCTTCTTTGGAATAGATGGATTTTTGTCACTTTCTGTGAACCAAAGCGATTCAATGTCTCTTTTGGTAAGTTTTTGTTAACATAGATCTGATTTTGTTCTGTCCGAGTAGTTGGATGTTAATGCCAAGTCATAATAAAAGGCATATTCTGATGGGATATTCTCAGGATCTGAGATGTTGTTTTGACCTGATTGACTTCTGGACTTGAGAAACGAATCACATTCTCATTGAGTTTTTCTTTCTTTCATAAAGACCTTTTCCTATCTTCTGATAGACTCATTATTCTAATCCTTTGTTCCATATCTACTTTTTCTCATAGGTGTTACACTTAGATATGCTGCTCATACCTTATCTTTTAAATCTTTTTAAAAGATATGCCTTATCTTTTAAATCTTTCAAAAATTCCTTTTGCAAATTTTTGTCTGATCAAAGGCCAAATAGTATTAAAAATAAGCCCTTTGACTTAACTGGAAAAAAATAATTTGGATCAATGTGTAATATGAGGTATAGCTGCCAACTGGTTTTTTATTTATATTTAGATCCATGGTATCTACTTTAGATTAAGTAGCTTGAGGACTTTCATTGTGTTTTATACATAATATAATATTTGAATAGGGAATACTTATATTAAAACAGTGCTCTTTTAGAAAGTAATGAGTAGACCGAGTGTAGTGGCTCACATCTGTAATCCCAGCATTTTTGGGGGCTAAGGCTAGAGGATCACTTGAACCCAGGAGTTCAAGGCCAGTCTTGGCAATGTAGTGAGACCGTGCCTATATAAAATATATAACCACAGGTGTGGTGTCACATGCCTGTTGTTTCAGCTACTCAGAAGGCCAAGGTGGGAGGATCACTTGAGCAAGGGATCAAGGCTGCAGTGAACTGTGATTGTGCCAATGCATTCTAGCCTGGATGATAGAGGGAGATCCTGTATGATGATTTGTAGTTTATAAATACTTTCATAGTTTCAAATTGTGGAAAATTAGCAGGGCAGGTAGCATTATCTTCATTTTCAGTTTGTCTAAGACTGCAAAATATTGGAGCCAGGTATCAGAATCATACCTGCCAATATATTCTATCAATTACCAAGGCTGAGAGGCAGAACTATGACGGTAGAAGACTGTATTGTTAGTAATATGGAAAATACATAACACATTCACTTACATGTTTAAAGCTTTACGACTTGAAATAGGAGCTTTATATATCTGGAAAATACACGGAGGTGAAATGCCTTATTCTCTAAAGGAGGGATCAGCAAACTTTTCTGTAAAGGCCGGATAGTATTTACATGCCCTTTGGTCTTTGTTACAGTTATTCTTCTGCTGAAATACTAGCAATAAAGCAGCCATAGGCAATATATAAATGAATGCATGTGTCTGTGTTCCAGTAAAACTTTATTCACAAAAACAGGTGGTTGGTCAGGTTTGGCTTGTGGATCATAGTTAGTTTGCCTTCCCCTCCTCTAAGGGATTACTTAAAAATTGTAAACATTTGCAAAAAGATAGAAAGCAAAATCAGCAAAGGAAAAAGGTATGTGGGGTGATGTTCAAAGGAAACCAGGCACAGGCTTTCAAGAATCTTTTCTCAGTGCAGCCCCATAAGATATGCACAGTTCACTCAGAGTTGTGACACATGAAATGTTGTCTGCTAGGGAAGATCATTAGAGACTCGGATTTAAGGTTTTTATTGGGGACTTGTCCTGTGGCACTGTCTGCTAGCAGGTAACAAAATTCAGTCGCCCAGAAAAAAAGCCAGGTGTTCAGCATAAACCGTATTTGCACCAACAGTTGAGACACAATGAGTGATTCTTAGGAAGGGAACCTCTGCGAAATCCCAGTTCCCAGCTACGAGCCAAGGATCAAATTGATAAGCAGTTCTTTTCTAATAGCTCTATTCTTATAGGCCTACTATGTTAATTCTTCATTTGCACAGTGGTGGTAATGGTTGTTGT